CATTCTAAATAGACAAAAACTGGAAGCATTCCCATTAAAATCAGGAACCAGACAAGGATGTCCACTATCTCCACTCTTTTTCAATATAGTGCTTGAAACTCCTAGAGCAATAAGACAGGAGAAGGAAATTAAAATTGGAAAAGAACAGGTCAAACTATCACTTTTTCCAGATGATATGATACTATACCTAAGAGATCCCAAAAGTTCCACCAGAAAACTCCTAGAACTGATCAACACTTTCAGTATAGTGGCAGGTTATAAAATCAATCTACAAAAATCAGTAGCTTTTCTATATACCAATAACAAGCAATTGGAGAAAGAATCCAGGGAAATGCTCCCATTCATAATTGATACACACAAAAAAAATCTTGGAATAAATCTGACCAAAGTCACCAAAGATCTCTACAATGAAAATTTTAAATTGTTAAAGACAGAGTTTGAGGAAGACACCAGTAGATGGAAGGAACTACCATGCTCATGGATTGGAAGAATTAATATTGTGAAAATGACCATCCTACCAAAAGCAATCTATAGATTTAATGCAATCCCAATCAAAATCCCCATGACATGCTTCACAGAATTAGAAAAATAATCCTTAAATTCATATGGAGGCACAAAAGACCCCAGGTAGTCAAAGCAACCCTGGGCACAAAGAGCAATGCCAGGGGCATTACTATACCAGATCACAAAGTATGAAACAGAGCTATATCTTAAAAACAGCATGGTACTGGCCCAACAATAGACACATAGGTCAATGGAACATCATTGAAGATCCAAACCTGAGTTTACTCAATTTCAGCCACCTCATATTTGACAAAGGTGCCAAGAACACAATGGAGGAAAGACAGCATCTTCAATAAATGGTGTTGGGAAAACTGGATCTCCACCTGTAGAAGAATGAAACTAGATCCTTATCTTTCACCTTGCAGAAAAGTCAACTCCAAATGGATCAAAGACCCCAATGTGAAACTGGAAACCCTGAAAATACTAGAAGAAAATATTTGCAGTAACTTACAGGATATATGTGTAGGAAAGGATTTTCTAAATCAGACAGCAGTTGCTCAGGAATGAAGGTCAGCAATCAACAAGTGAGACCTCATTAAACTAAAAAGCTTCTGTACAGCAAAAGAAACAAAAAAGTTAAGAAAAAACCCACAAAATGGGAAAAGAATCTTCATCAGTGACACATCTGACAGGGGTTTAACATCCAGACTATATAAAGAACTCAAAAAGAAAGAATCAAGAAACCAAATCATCCAATTAAAAGATGGGCTAAAGATCTAAACAGACAGTTCTCAAATAAAGAAATAAAAATGACTAAGAAACATCCCCAAAAGTGTTGAACATCGTTAGTAATTAGGGAAATGCAAATTAAAACTACCCTAAGGTATGACCTTACCCCAATCAGACTGGCTAGAATCAAGAGAACAAATGATACCAAATGCTGGCAAAGTTGTGGAGAAAGGGAACACTCATTCACTGCTGGTGGGATTGCAAACTCTGCAGCCTCTATGGAAACCAGTGTGAAGAACTCTTGAAAAACTAAAAATGAACCTACCATATGATCCCATTATACCACGCCTTGGCATATACCCAAAAGACTCATCCTACTGTACAGATATTTGTTGCTGCTCTTTTCACAATAGCTAAGAGATGGAAGCAACCTAAGTGTCCCTCAATGATGAGTGGATAATGAAAATGTGGTTCATATATATGTTGGAGTTTTACTCAGCAATAAAGAAGGATGAAATCATGAAATTTGCAGGTAAATGGACAGATCTAGAAACTGTTATACTAAGTGAAATAACAGACTCAGAAAAACAAATGAAGAATATTCTCCCTCATATGTGGATCCTAGCACCAAATCCTTTTAAATTCCTGGTGCTTTTAATAAGATGATGCTGTACAGAAGTCCCTTCTGCATGAAATAGCTACCATAATCATGACTTCAGCTGAGCCTGATCGCTAAACATCATCACAGTTGGGCTTGTTGACAGTTGTGCTCATTCATTAAAGGAGGGCCAAAAAGGGACATTGGACCTCATTGCATTACTCAGCGACTCTTCCCAGCCAAACGAATGTAATTTGACCGTAATCACACATGGCCTCCTGGATTTGGGGAGGGCTAAAGTATACAATCTGGGGAAGGCTAGGAAGAGAAGGCATGACCCATGCTGGGTAAAGGCTTTCCAGTGTGCATACCCTCAGGTCATACATACACCTCAGCAACCCCTCAGTAATCTTGAAGCCTTTGAGAGGGAACTGACACTGATCCTAACCACTCCAACAGCTATCAAAATACCTGAAAGCAAATCCTGAATCCATCACTCTAGAGTCCAGTCTTGGAAGACAAAAGAAAAATGAGGAAGAATCCAATAGAGGGATGCTTTCAGAAGACCTTGTCAAGAAATTCCAATGGAATCTCATATAAATATTTGAAAATTGGTCTGTTCTGAGTTTTTTCTAGTTCTCTGTCTAGAACTTGTAATGCTAATTACTCTTGCTTTACTTTTCCTTCACATCTCCTATTCACCAGTCAAGGACTTTCTTTTCCCCCTACAGATAACAGTTATGCACTCTGGAGTCTCTTAGATAAACCCACTGAAGGGGCACTCCAATTTCTTCACCTTGTGTTCCTGTTCAGCATGGAAGAAGCCAGAGCGGCTTGCATCCCGATTCCCTATTGGCAATTTGGGTAATCTCTTCAGAGGATGGTGTGATAAGAAAAGGAGGTAGGAATTGGCTAGGCGATTGGGGTAAAAAGACCCCAAAGAAATGTAGCCACTTTCTTGGCTAAAACTCACAATGTCCTTGGGCCTCTTAGCAACCTACTCTGTTCCAAAGGCCAAAAACGTTGAAAATATTTGGGAGCTTTAATCTAATCCTTAAAAGACTTTAGGGTTACCTCTTCAGAAGGGGGAATGTTAGAGTAGCCAAAAGCCCCATTAAAAAAACAAAATCAAAGAAGAAAAAAGAGCACATGGAGTTATCAGAAAAAAGTGATTGGGATATGGGAGTAGTTGGAGGGGAGGGAGTGGGAATGGATTTGATCAAACACCTTATATGCATGTATGAAATTGTCAATAAATTATTTATTTTAAAAAATGAATGCTGTATTGATTGATGCATATTATACACTAGTATGAAGAATAAACTAAAGTTGTAAAATTATTCATTAGAGCTATGTGGTGAAGCTTTGTTCATTTGTCTTCCAGTAGGTAAAACATTATTTGCAAACTAGGGATGGAACTCAGGGGCCAAACACTTGCCTACCACTTCTGAGGCCTTGGGCTCTATCCCAACACCCAAAAGAAAACAAAGAAAACATTGAAGAATCAATTAATTTTTCAGTAAACTTTGGAAGTCTTTTGTTTTAAAACCTTCCAAATAAAGAAGAGGACACTAATGAATGTCAATTCTCATTAATAAAGATCCCTCATGCAACAGAGGACCAAGAATACAAAAATGTCACAAATGACCATAATGTAGAGATTTAGTAGTCTACAGAATGCTGATCCTTGGACAAGACTCTTATATTAACCTTCACCGCCCAAGTCTCGGGACATTCGCAGAAGAGGGGGTGAAAAGATTGTAAGAGCCAGGAAAGAGGTGAATGACCATATGGAATCAGTGAGTTTCTGGGACCCTGTTCATATGATTCTATGGCAATGGTGTCAGCATACACAGGCCCCATGCAAACTCAGACAGTAACTCAGCATAGAACTGGGAAAGTGAATAGCAGACTCCAATCTTACCTGAAGAAATATTGGCAACTGATACTGCTAGGCGAGAAAGAACTGATCTTCCTTAAAGAGACTCTACATAGGCTGACTAGATCTCAGTGGATGGACTTGCACTGGGGAATGTCTAGTGGTTGTTAACACAGATGACAGAGTATATGGGTGGGGGGGGCTGTTGGGAGGGTTCTCGTGAGGACAGGGGTATAAAGATGATTAAGATTGTCCAAGATATTCTCTATGAAATACACAAAAATTCAATAAATACAAATTATAACTGTTTCTCAAAGTCACCAAAAGGAAGATGAAAACCTAAATAGAGAACTGGAAGGCTATAGCTAACATTGTACACATGTGTATGCATTTTATACAAATCAAGTATGAACATTTTCCTCAAAGCTTAATTCTTTCAAGCTAATACATAGTCCTAACAAAGAACTCCATTATTTTAATTATATTTCCATTTTAATAAACTGCAATGCAAAAATTAAGAGTTAAAATTTTGCTTACTTTAAGCTGTCCGATTTCTTTAAATTTATAAACTTCATATTCCCATAGTGCTGCATTTTTCCCAAGAATCTTCTGACATTTGCTGGCAGCAAAAAGATCCCAGGGAGAAAGAAAATGTAAATAAACAACAAATATAGACAGAGTAAGTAGACATCTTCCCCAGCAGTTTAGACAATCTCTTCCCAGAGTTCTGTGTTTCTGTCTTGAGTGCCAGTGAATGTGAGAAATCACCATGACTCAACTGATTGCACTCAGGGCTTGATGGGAATCATGAAAACCACAGAAACAGTTATGTACAAAGATGGATTTCTTCCAGAAGACTAATTAGGGGTTCCCTGACTTTCCTATCCTGAGTCTCCTTTATATCTACAAAGCACTGCTGCTTGGGACTCTTGAGAAAAAAAAAAAAATTACTGTATCTAAACCTCCAGCTCCTTCTGGAATAGCTTTAAACAATGGGCTAAAAAATGAGACTTCAGAAAATTAGATTCTTATCCTAATGCATAATTACCATTTATGTATGAATGAATCTTAAATAATCTCAGGTGACTGACATTATTAATAATTAAATAGTAATTAAATAAAGCAGGTGTGAAGACAATATTGCAGGCTTGAGAATTTCCAATTAATTGCCACACTTTTGTGAGAAACAACTGTCCTTTGATTGTAAGCAGAGGTACTTTGTTTTGCACTTTTTTCAACAGTGTGTATAACACAATGAGCCCCAAGACCGTAGAGGACACATATAGTACCTCCCCCCAGAGACATCAGAGGACACATACAGTGTCTCCCTCCAGAAACATTACAGGACACATACAATACCTCTCTCCAGAGGCATTAGACATACACAGCACCTCCCTCCAGTGACACTGGAGGATACATACAGTGGCTCCTTCCAGAGACATTAGAGGACACATACAGCGCCTCCATCCAGAGATTTCAGGGGACACATACAGTGCCTCACTCCAGAGGTACTAGAAAACAATACAGTGCCTCCCTCCAGAGACATTAGAGGACACATACAGTGCCTCCCTCCAGATAGAGGACACATATAGCACCTCCATCCAGGGACATTAGAGAACACATACAGCACCTCCCTCCAGAGACATTAGGGGACACATACAGTGTCTCCCTCCAGAGCCATTAGAGGACACATACAGTGCCTCCCTCCAGAGATTTAAAGGACACATACAGCGTTTCCCTCCAGCGCTGAGGGCAGGTGTGCTTCTTCTCCAGACTGATAATACCTACTAGAGAAGACATTCTAACTCAGGTGTTTCTCCCTTTACAAGCCTGTAATAGGCAGGTTCTGTTAGATTATTATGTGCTATACTTTAGGAAGTGGGACTGGGCTCTGGGATGCAGGCTGACACTATAGGCTGTACTATGGGAAGTGGGAACTGGGGATTTGGAACACAGGCTGACATGATGGCTACTATAGCTGACAAAACAGTCATTTAGCTCTGGTCCAGGAGTCTCATGTCTTTTACTTGTCCCATAAAACTGGCAGACTGATACTGACACATTTTCTAAAAATAAAATGGGAGAAGCATAGACTTTCTCTCCATAGTTCTTGATACCTTTCTTAGTAAATAATGAAAATAAAGCAATTCCCTTTTGGTAAAAGTGAAATAGAAGCTGCAGAAATAATATATATTAATCTGTTTTGTGACTGAAAAACTTAATATTCAAAAATTTTCTTTTAGAGATATGAAAAACATCAATTGCAAAGAATCCCTTATTTTTGTTGCTGCCATCAATGATAATTAACTGAAAAAGTTGGTCTTACCGTGCCGCCATGTCATATTCTCCTCTCTCTACCAGGTGATTTACATATGCCAAGCCAATATCCTATTGAAAAGTAAATGAAGGGATGTCACAATCCAGCTGGAACTGAAGAGGCGAAAGTCAGTTTCTGACAGGACATCGGGGACTGTGGCACCACCCAGCCTGTCTGTGTCCTGGCTCAGGTCACGTAGGTATACTTCAGCATATTCAGATTTAAATGCACTTACATTCATTTTTCATATATTTTAGTAATCAAAGTTTAAATAAAATGACTATAGCTTCCTTTTTAAAAGCTTCTAAACCACCCCCTCTAAGATATGCTCTACAGAGAAAATCTCCAGTGTTAGAAACATGCTCTTAACAATTCTAATTGTCACTAGAGGCAGAAGTCTATTTCTGGTGTCTTCTGTAAAATGTGAGCTCTTCAACATGAAGTCTGAAGACATGTAAGAACAATAAATGACAGACTATCATACAAAAGGGAAACAAACATTCAGCTTAACATGAAAGTGAAAATGGGTGCAGAAAAGCAAGTAATTCCAACCTGTGAGCTTACAGACCGACAATTTGGAAGGGGAGAACTGAACGGCTGTAGAGATGTGTCTACTTACATATTCCACTGGGGACATGTGGCCAGTGTGACCACGACATGGGGGTGGGAGGGCAGCTCTTTCTTACCCTCTACAGAACTCTTATTCTCATCAGAAGCATTTTCACAAGAAGCTTAAACAGAATGCAGAAAAACTTCTGCATTAGCTCCTCTGTTATATAGGAATGGGTGTTTGTAGCACTGCCTCTTGGAAGACAGAAGTGGCAGAGCCCACTTACCATTCCTGCATGTCTGGGAAGGAATTAGACTGTGCTGGGGGAGAAGTTCTATGTAGAGTTAATGTACAGGGCAGGCTATTTTAAGAGAACAGGGAAATACCATAGCTTTAGTTCATAAAATGTCTTCCTTAATGACTATAATGGGGGAAATTATGCCCCTAAAACCAGATCACTTATCAATGATTATTTTCTGCCCCTTGGTTCATAGTTTATCAGGGAAACTTGAGGCAGGACTAAAAGCTTAAATTTCTTCCTACAGGCTCCAAAACAGAACCAAGTTCCTAACTACAGATGCCCCTTCAGGATCTATTCTATCTTTGCCTACATAACCATTTTTTAACTTTCTATATAGTAATCTCTTTAACTGCCTGACACAACCAAGGAAGCCAAGTCTTTTCATGTTTCTGTATCTTCAACATACTATTCTAAAGAAAGACTGCTTATTTTCCACAACTGTGACTTAATAGGTCTCTAGTTTTCTCTCTTCTTTATTATTTTACTTGTGTATTTTTTGAAAATTAAGGTTTTATGTGCAGTTTTACAGAGAATTTTAAGGTGGGAAAAGCAGAAGGAATGAGTGCTAATACTCAAATAGCCATAGAAGGGTTGCTAGTCTTCATCTGTGGACAAAGGGGTACAGGGCTAAATATTCTTTAAGGTCAGAACCTCTCACATGTAAAGGGTATGATTTGTCAGGTTTCGGCCTGAAAATTCACTGCCATAGTTGGCAAAGAAAAAGCATTCCAGCCGTTGTACTTTTCCAGAGTCCAAAATGTAATAAAAATGTATTTGATTTCCTAGAATAGTCTCCCTAACAAAAGCAATCGAGTTTGTTATCATGGCGACACCAAACCAATCTAGTTTTAAGAAACCATTCTTGATAGATTCTGTGATAATGTGATTTTACCTATGATTTAAAGAAACTTAACACATGCTCAATTGGGAAACTTTGTATTTAAAGTGTATTTCATAATATAGCTTCCAAATTTTCTAAAGCTATGCCTGAGCAGGTGTTCAGGTCTCTTGTTTACAATCAGAATCTGATTCAATAAAATGAAATAGTCTGACCTCACAAGAGGAACCTGTTCTTTTCAAATTACTGTCTCCTATGACCTAGTAAAACCGGTTAGGTATCAAATAACGAAAGTGCACTTACCAGGATCTTGTGTCTTTTAATATTCCTTTGGCTAATTTCAGCAGCCATCAAAGCTTCCTGTGTTTACATAAGCACAATGAAAAGGACCAGAAAAAAAGCAGAGAAAATGGGAGTGGGAGAGAAGATATCGCAGTTAGAATCTGTATTTATTATGTTTTAACATTCTGTACTACAGGAAAAAAAGTGTTATTTTCCTGTGGACTTTGTGTAAGGCATTGGGATTTTTAATGTTATAGCTGAATGAACATCACTGAATTCAAACTCAAACAAGGACAGTCAACTAAAATGAAGACTGAAGACTTTTTTTATTTCCATTTGAACTATTTTCCACATTAAGATTCTGGATTATATTTTATTAAAAAATCAGAGTACAACAAATTCTCTTAGTCTTCAAGCAAAAAAAAAATCTGTCATTCTATATCTGTAAGGCACAGTCTTTTCCTATAGGTTTCAATAAATATCAAGTATACACACATGCCTCTATACCTACAATTAAGCTTTCAAAAACCAAATTTTGTTTTTATTTTGGAAAGGTTACAGGTATTAGTTTAACACAAATGTTTGAGTCATAAAATAATTTCTTAAGAAGTTACTTAATCTAGGGGCTGGAAAGATAGCTAAGCAGTTAAGAGTGCTTGCTCTGCAATCATGAGGACCAGAGTTCAGATTCCAGAATACACTTATCAAGCCAGGAGTTCTCCCAAATTCCTGTAACTTCAGCTCTGGGGATATGAGGGAGACAGAGAGTCCACTGGGACTTGCTGATTTCCAGCCTTGCAGAGAAAACCTGAGCCTGTGGTTCAGGAAGAGGCCCTGCCTAAAGAGGAATAGGTAGAGTGATAGAGAACACAATGCCATCTTCTGACCTTCAAGCGCTAAACAAACACATACACCTGCACACACACACATATGCATATAGTCACACACACACACACACACACACACACACACACACACACACACAGGAAAAGAGAGAGGGGGAGAGAAAGAGAGAGAGAAATGAAAGAATGAATGAATGAACACATAAACAGAAAAATCTCTAAAACACCTTAAAGTAAAATGAGAACTGGGTTATGAATCAGGTATTAATATCTGGACTCCAGTTTACAAATTTAAAAAATTCCCCCAGTCCTTCCAGGTAGAGTAGTGACTGCTGTTTCCTACTGATGGGTACTCAAGCACACCCACAGAGTCTAAGAAACAAAATTTTACAGCTGTTAAAGTTGAATAAAAATGTTTTTCTCCTAAAGGAAGTCAAGTCGGACCACTTTCTACTTAAACTTGTCTAAACCATGGCTCAATGAAGTAGACAATATCATTTTATCCAAATTAGTGATTCATCCCATTCTAAGTAAGTATAAATTTGGTCTCTTTCCCTAACATATAAATAATCATAAAATGAATGATTTCACTAGCACATCCAAACAGAAAATTCTGAAATGTTAGTTCTATTTAATTTCCTTAGGGGAAAAAAAAAAAAAAATCAAACCAAAAATGCCAGTACGTTGCTCCAAATGACTCCCTCTCTCAACCACCTTCTGTTCTCAACTCATTCCCTTCAACGGCAAAGCCAGTCATGCTAAGTGCCAACTTTCTGTTCCCTGTTTTCTGAGAGAAGCATGGTAACGGTTTTTAGCCTTCTACACATTTTTGGTTTGGAGTATGCTAACCCAATATGAAAGATTTACTATAAAAATCCTTTATCTTTTCTGTGTTAAGGGAAGCCAATACTTTCAAGAAAGTAAAATCAAAACTACTTCATATTTCCTCTTTTCAAGGAGCCAGTCGATGTGATCATCTTGGTCTCGTTCCTTGGCCACTACGACGTCTCTTGGACTCACAATGTAGAATAGTGATTCCCCTTCGGAATATTCTTGAGAAAGGAGAGAGGACAAATTGAGTGACTCAACACTACAAAGTGACAATGGTCTCAGAGGATGTAGTTAGCCTACAATTTCAGACTGAACAGCCAATTACCTACCTTTGCAGCCAAGTGTGCTTAACTGTGCTGGAAAGTGAGGGAGGAGGTAGGGTTATATTTCAGTGCTTTCAAATACGCTAAAGTATAAAACTATTTTAAAGGGAAGGGAGGAAGGAGAGAAGGAAGAAAAGAAAAGCTAGAGAAAGAAAAGACTATAAAAACAAACAAAAAATAAGGTAGTCTTGAAACTACAAGTTTAATACATAACATTCTGATTTCAGATGAAAAATAGTCTCCTAACTCTCCCTCTATGTCCATTACATATGAGACTTCATTTACTGTATATAAACTTTATTTATGGACACTTGCAGTACCGTTATATTTTTACTGAACAATTACATCCTACAGTCAGCAATAACTGCTTCCTCCTCATCAGGGTGAAGGCCATCTAATGCATAAATGACAGATACCCAGGCCCTGAGGACACAATCTATCATTTCAGTAAGCTGTGTATGAAGTCAATGGTGAGGGCTTCTGTAGAATCAATTATAAAACCCGATCTGAAGGTTTCTAAGCGTGCAGCAGTTTGCTCTGAGCAAAACACCTAGATGGTATGCTTTCAGTGGTGAATCACAGTTGTTTTCTGCCAAGTCCAGAATATACTCTCACACATTCCAGCTGATTAAAGGTTCATATAAGAAGGGTCAAACACAGAGTGTTTCCTCATTTCTTTGGTCAAAATGAGAACTAAACATATTTTCACAAAATGTCAGTTGTTTTTAAAGCAGGAAGGGCTTTCTAAAAAGCCTGAGTGTTGTATTTTCCTCAGTGGAGTTTACAAGGATGTGAGGATAAACACAGATGTCCTTGGTAGGGTGAAGAGCAGTGGTTTTCCATTTGCTTCTGAGCAGTGAGTGCTTAAGTGCATTCATCCAACCACTCTTCAAGTATTCTCCAATGCCTAGTGATGAGGCAGAGCTAACCCTTGCTCTCAGCACCCAGTTCTAAACAGAAAGACAACTTCTCTGTCACCCAGCAGCAAACTTTCTAGGGAAATAGAGCTTGGAGTGATGGGACAACCACAGAGTCGTGATGCTTGACATCAAATTGTGTCACTTCGATGGGACAAGGCTGGGATGAGCTGAGTGACAGGGCTTGCCTAGTACGTACAAGCCATGGGTTTGATTCCCAGCACAGTAAAAAAGGCCAGCTGACTAGCTAGCTTGACAATACAGTAGAAAAAAAACACAACAGAAAAGGAGCCCACTTCTCACCTTGGCCCTGGTCCCGTCTCTACCTTTCCTATTTTCTATATGCACTACCTTTCCTTTTCTACCTGGAAATCTGGTTTTCATCAGCAAAGCCATGCCCATATATCTTCTAAGATCCTTTCAGCAGTTTATACTTAAAATTCCCTCTTTGGTGAGTTGGGTGTAAGACAATACAGTAAGTGTAAGAAACGCAACAAGCAGATAGATCTCCCTTCTCTCTCACCTAAATGATAATCCCTGCATTCATTCTCCTGAAAGTCTCTGACTGTTAAAGCATCAGAAGAGATCTCTTCACAAGTCTCAGGAAGTGGTTGGATGATGTCTAGTCGAGGCCTGGCACAGTATTCTCTTTCCTATTGGGAAAGAGATAAAAAGAGCCCATTTTCTATTTCTGTAAGTTACACAAATGAACAAGTTATCCATACTTGCTTTGAATTTATCATTTTGTTACACACAAGTCTTTGTAAAAGTTTACCACAAACAGGCACCTAATAGTCTCTTATTCTGTGACCTCTGTGTGAAAAATATAGGACCGTACCATGTGTGCCCCGCATCATTCCAGCATCCAATCCGAAGGAAGTTGTGGTCTGTGAGAATCTTCATCACTTGATGGAATTTAGACTCACCATAGACACATAACCCTGGGTATGTCTATGCAGGAGTGTCCAGAAAAGTTTAACTGAGCAAAGAACACCCCCACCGAATGTGGGCTATGCCATCCCATAGGCTGGGGTCCTAGGCTAAAAAAGAGTAAGCTGAGCACCAGCCTTCATCTCTCTCTGCTTCCTGTCTGTGGGTGGGATATGAGCAGCTGCCTCATGATCCTGCCACTATGTTCCCCCACCAGGACAGGATGCACTTTAAACTGGGAGCCAAAATAAACTCTACCTCCTTTAAGTTGCTTTAACCGGGTATTGCATCACAGCAATGAGACAAGTAACTATCACCAGTTCTTTACAACTCTTGTGCATGGATGTGAAAGTAAAATTATTAAAAAATAACTTCATTATCCAAATCACTGCTAATACTAGCAAACTTACTAGTAATGCTGACAAGTGAATGATTGAGAGTCACCTCTAGATCAGACCTCGTCAGGATGCACACGTTCTGCGTTCATGCTACTTGATACGGCAGACCTTAGTCACAGGTGGCTGCTGAGCACAGGAAATGTGGGTACTGTGACCAGGAAACGAAATTTCAAATTGTATTTGATTTTAATTAGCTTAAATTTACACACCATAAATGGCCTACAGTTTTTGAAAGAGAAGCGCTAGACCATGACAGAGGGTTAGGGTGAGCTCACATCTGCCAAGGATCTGGGGAAGTTCAAGAGCATCCTAAGCGATAATTCATATTGCTCACTGGGTTTACTAAAACCTCTAAGGTAAATTAAATATGATTGTTCTGAATTTTATAGATGGAGAGACTAAGGGTCAAAAAATTCAGATTAAAGTTAAGTAAGCCAATAGTTAGACTGGGAGGCATGGAAACCTGAAATTTATGGTAGACCTCAGATGTGCGGGGTAAGTGCATTCTTTCTGCTTTGATGCCCCTGCTTCTTGGGGAGCAGCATTATCGGCATGAAGCACACACCCCATCATCCCAAGATGTCACATAAAACACTTTATCAGCATGGAGAAGGTGGATGAGAGGAGCAAGATGGAAAAAACAAAATTGAGAGCTAGGTTTTAGTAGTTTTTACATAAAACAGTGATGTGGATTCTCTGAGTAATTTTGCTAACTCAAAAGTAATTACAACAGCTTTGTATCATAGGCATGGGAAATACTTTAAGAATGGACAGCTGAGCTGGGGTGGTGGCACATGCCTTTAATCCCAGCACTTGGGAGGCAGAAGTGGCGGATCTCTGTGAAATGGAGGCCATCCTGGTCTACATAGTGAGTTCCAGGCCAGCTGGAGCTACAAGGAGACTCTGTCTCAAAAAAAAAAAAAAAAAAAAAACAACAGAATGAAACAATCAACTACTAGAAGACCTTGAGAGCATCTGCCATAATTTATCAGAGCTGTGGAGAAATGAAAAACAATTCCCAATTTCACAGAAGAAAATAATTAAAAGACTGGAATAGTCTAAAAACTGGTTGTGATGAAAGTAATAAAGTATCACAATCAGGACAGGATGAAAAATTTTGAACAATATAAAATTATGTAGGAGAACACTTTAGGGTTGGGGATATAGCTCAGGGACAGCACTTGCTTAGCATGTGTGCAGCTCTGTGGTTTGATTCTCAGCACTGGAAGTAAAAGTAGAGAAGAAAACAAATTTCACGTGTTAAGAAAAGTTTAACCAATGTGATCCATCTCATTTTACTTCTGCTCCCTGATCAGATCACCCACTTTCTTCTCTAGGAACTTCCCAAGAGTAAGAACTGCTTTACTCCCAGCCCTTGGGAGGCAGATGCAGGAGAATGTTTGTAAAATTGAGGCCAACCTGGACCACATAGTGACTTCCAGGTGGGCTGGGACTAGGGAGACCCTGTCAAAGAAAGAAAAACTATTTTACCTTTGACTCCTAAGCCCAGTCACAACTCAGTTCACACATGTGCTTTAACAGTGAGCGGAAGAAAAGCAAAATATTGGGGAACAGCTTAATAAATAAATTAGGGTGCATTCAATATGACCATGATGGGAGCCACATAAGAAGAGAGGAATGACGTCACAGAGCCACACAAAGTAGCAGTGACAGCCTATGCGAAAGTGGCGGCTATGAAAAGGTCGCACAAAGGAAATGCATGGGGGTTAATGAAAAACCAGGTTCATCTAACAAAAGCATCTTTTCAACATTAAAAAGAGCATAAAAGAGAGCATGCTCCAAGCTGGCCTCTTTATTCCTTTTTGTTAATCTTATTAGCTTATTCTGTATTTAAGGACTTAAGATGTGCACTGATGCTACAGACACGAGACAGTGCCCTGGCACTGGTTTCCTTTTTTCTTTTCCTTTGGTTCCTTCTTGATAGGTTGTTTATTAGGCTTTCCATTTCTCCATTTTATTGCTTCTTCCCTTATTTCTTTCAATCACGTTCTCAATCCTCCCCACATTCCTCATCAAAAAGCATTGTACTTACTCCCTCAGGAGTGACTGCTTTTCCGTATTTTCAAAAAATAAATAAAATAATAATAACTTGATGTCCTGCAATGGGGCTAGAAGCCAACCCTATTGATTTTAGGAGGTTTGAGGGTTCACTTAAGTCTACGGCATTTCATTGCCTAGCAACATGGGTACCCAGAGCTCCAGTTACTATAGTGATGGCTTCCTAATGCAAGTGCTCGCTCAGAGAAATGCTCATGTGCAGCTACCACTTCAAAACGAGGGCTCCCAGGGCTTTTCTCCACCATTTTATTCTTTGCCATTTGGGAAAAAAAAAAGAAAAAAGAAAAAGAGGAGGACACAAACAAGGGGAGCATACTCCACCTGCCGCTTACCATAAAGCACTAGAGAATCAGTGCAATTTCTTTTTATACACAGCACCCAAAAGGAAACCCTTTACAATAAGCTCTCCTTGCTCATGCCTTGAAGCTGCCCCTCTCACTTTCCTGGCAGGGCCCCTGGACTCTAACAACAGACAAGCTGGAAGTGGTGCTTTGAAGGAAGCCTGGGGGCCACTGGATCCCAGATGAAAGCTTCATTCCAAGGTCAGGAAAACAAAATGTAGCCTATCTGCTGCTTGCTGTTAGCAGTGCACCCAGTGTCTGTCATTTGCACTGGTAACTGAGAGCTAGCCACTGCCCTTCCAAAGCAGCTATCTAGCTACTTGGAATCATCAGGCTACTGGGAGGTAAACAAACATGTCTGGACTCCAGAAATAACCAACTGCTCTTCCTGTAGTTCCCACTGACCACTGGGACCACTGCTGTTGTGGCTGGTCAGCCTCACTGCTGTCGTGTCTTCTAACACAGTGTCAGCTTAGTTTTCTTGTCTTTCAGTGTGAGGAATCCTTCATTTCTTTCAACTAAAATACCAAGAGACTGATGAAAAAAAGAAACGTGAACTGACTCTCCTCTTCATGCAGCAGGGAACAAAGGCAGGCAACGAGCCAATGAACGGCTTCTGAAGGGAAATACTCCATCTACGGGGGAATTTCTGCCAGGCTTATTTCACAGGTCAGAAAGTTCTGCTCAGATTACAGCAATCTTCTCTGACAGGCTGACCAGGGTGTGATGCTAAAAGTGATCCCCTGTCCCCCACATCCCCCTGTACCTGGGGAAAAATAATTACCGTTTTTTCTGAAACTTCTTTTACGTAGGAAAGCACAACAAGCTGATCACAGAGAGGAGCGAGTCCACTAATAAAGAATTCAGTTTCAAACTGTGACACTGCAAACAAAAGGCAGATAGGATTTATCATTAAAAGGAACAAAAAGAAGCACAGGGTCCAAAGACACATCGATTGTGAATGCTAGGAAACATCTAAAAGATAGTTTAAGATGGAAATACATGTTCGGTATTTTGATGTGTCACTACACACTGTTTAAGTGTTGAATTATGACACTATACTACGTATAACGGCATATATTAATTAAAAAGCTAATAGAAAGGGGCGCACTGAAATTGCTTCACAACAATTCATCTCAGAAAAGGCATGCAAGCACTCAGACTTCAAAGTTTCCCTCATACAAAAAAAATGAAGGGAACAACAAGTGTGAGTATGCCGCCGTGCCAGCCAAAGAATGACATCGTTAAATTACAGAGCCCCAGGGCAGACACCGTTAATAACCATTTTAATTTTAACAAATGCTCAGCCGGGCATGGTGGCACCCACCTTTAATCCTAGGCAGAGGCAAGCAGATCTCTGTTAGAATGGGGCTAGTCTAGTCTACATAGCGAGTTCTAGGCCTGCTGGGGCTACATAGTAAGAACCTGTCTCAAAAAAACAAAACAAACAAATGTTCAAGTTTCAGTTCTTCTTTACAGTGGTGCAAATGTTACATGACATGCTTTTTTTAATTATAAAACACTATTTTGTTTGCTTGTTTTAGAAATTTTACTTAAAGATCCTTGCATACTTACATACTTCTTAAAGACATTAAATAAAGTTTTTTCAAAAGCAGTGTACTTTAAGTTTAAAAGGCAGTATTATTTTTATGAAATATGTAGATGCTGGAGAGAAGGCTCAGTTGGTAAGAGCACTGGCTCTGCAAGCCTAAGGACCTGAGTTTGAAACCCCAGCACCCATCCAAGTAAAGAGATCCAGCCAGAGGCAGGAGGATCATAAGTTCAAAGTCTAGGCTATAGCATGAGCGCAAGGCGAACTTGGAAAACTTACTAAGATATTGTTTCACTGTAAAAAGTAGAAAGAGGGCTATGGGTGGTAAGCTCAGTGGTAAAGTGCTTGCCTAGCATACATGAAGCCCCTAGTTCAGTCCCCAGTCCTGGGGGAAAAAGGTATATGGCCTCAACTATTACACTGGATCTCATACATGATGTGGGAAATGTACCAACATTCTTAGGGCTGGGTTCTGATGGCGCTGATGTAAAGTAGAAATGAATATCCTTCTAAGAGACTGAGTGAGCTCTCATTTGGACTCACCCTATGGTCCAAAAGTTTCTTATGTCAGACTGTCTCTGAATTTCAGAGTATTAGCTGCAGATTTAGCTCTGTGGTGAAATTACTTGCTTTTCCCAAGTTGGGGAAACTCAATGTGTCCCATTGGAAGCAGTCTTGGACGTCTAGTCAGGAAAGTTGGATTGTAACTGCTACTAAACTGAACTTGGGCATCATTTTAGCTTCTTTCTATGTGTAAAGCTTTTTCTTGGCTATGAGATAAAGAAATGATAGTAAAAATAAAACCTATAGTACAGATGGAATGGGGTATTGAGCTTTTCTTCTTCCATTGTCCCACCCTGGGACACCAAAGCTCCTTATCTTTTCCAGTCCTACTGCTTCTCTTTATACAAATTTTTTCATAATTTCTACACTAAAAAGATGACCCAAAATTGCTAACACAAACTTTAAAGTGGGTAATGTTTCGAATCTGTTTGACCTTTTTGACACACATTTCATAGCTCTGCTGGCCTTGAACTGGCAATGTAGTGCAACGTGACCTTAAGCTCTGACTCTTGAGTCCACCTTCTAAGTGTTTGGATTACAAGTGTGTGCCACCATTTCCAGCTAAAATGAGTAGTATTTTTATGTCTAGTTACTGACCGGATTGGTAAATAGTCACGGTGTCATGGTGCAAGTCTAAGTACAGGTAGCTGCTCAGGGCCTACCTCTGCCACTAACACATTTGTCTTTACCTTTGCAGGCTTGAACATTTTTTTATTCAGGCATGTAAAATATTTTGGTAAAGAGGTAACATGAGAAATAGTCACAAATAAGCTTTAATGAGAACCAGTTCTGCCTCCACCATAGTGTAGAAATGTAGTGTAGATATAGTCATCCCAGAGATGGTTTCTAGGTCTAATTAAGCAAAGTTCATATATTAAATGGATTATCTGGAGAAGATAAATCAAAGAAAATGGAAACAAATTGTTGGGTTATACAGAGCTCAAAACAAAAGGCATAGGTCCTATGCTCGATGCCACCATTGCCACAACAGTCCAGAGGGGAGGAGAGAAATGAGTAGCAGGCGGCACTAGACTGAGAACAACTGGAGACTGATTGCTACTGGGTGAGGGAGAATATTCCCTACATATGATCTCTAGATAGGCTGAGTAGCTTAGCTAAAAGAAAAAGAAATCTCCAAGGACCTGCTAGGTAAAAAGGTCCAAACCAAATGGTTACACTTCATGTGTTAAGTATAAAATTATCTAAGTGCATCAACTAAAGATAAGTCAAACACTAAAAGACAGCAACAAAGGGCTTTCCATTTTTTAAAAGGACTACAAGAATCACAACCTGGTCTGACTCCCTGTTCTTAGAAATAACTTTGGAAACCAACCAAGGCAACTGTGCTACAGAGAGATGGAGCAGGAACAATGAGAGGTTGTCAATCTAAGAATAAAATAAGAATACAGTTTCCACCTCTCTAGATGACATACTTCTCTCAATCAACATTTTAAAATCTTCCTGTAACTATGTCAATCATATTCAGGTGTTCAGAAAACGGCAAATAGCATCCCATTGAGATATGTCAGGGTCTGTGGGTTTCCCGTAATTTCTCCCCAATGATTCGGATCTAAATGCCTGAAGTGAGGCTGCCCTTCCCCCAGGTTCCTCTGGCTCTGAATGGGGGGTACAAAAGGGTGGGAGCAATGCTCGGAGGCACCATATGGCTACAGTCAGAAGGAGCTTCTTCTAGATGTTCTGTTGTTTGCTTCTCTGTTTTGGGTGTTTGAGACAGGGTCTTACTCTGTAGCTTACCAAGCTGAACTCCTAGAGGTGTGAGTCAGGTGTGAGCCAAAATACTTGGCAGTTTTGAAAACAGGAATGCCTGAGTTCAAATGCTGTCCCCTTTGCTTAGATATATTACATAACTGATGTGAGCAAGTTACCTGACACCCCTTATAAGTTTCTTTACCTATAAAATTAAACGACAAATTAAATGACACTGTTTGCAATGTATTCAGCATTGTGCCTGGTGGTTACTGGTAAGAATGAAATCAAATATATCTTTTTCTGCTTAATATCCTTGAAACAGGGTCTCTCACTAAACCTGGAGTTAGGCTAGCAGCCAGCAAGCCTCAGAGATCCTCTTGACTCTGCCCCAACAGTGCTGGTGTTATAGCACAGATATGGTCATACCCATGTTTTTACATGGGTGCTGGGGACTCAAACTCAGGCCCTCCTGCTTGCACAGCAAAGCTCTCTTACCCACGAGGCCATCTCTCCAGCCCTGCCTCAGACTTCTTACAATCCCCACTATCAGTAACAAATATCCAAGTTTTTACATCAGTGTGTTTATATCCTCCCAAGGAGCGGAGTGAACCAAGAACAAAAGTGTAAAAGATCAAATACAGTGAAACTTAATAAAAGTTTTATGATATTCAGTGAAAAATGCTGCACTTTTTCATATTTAAATTTTTTCATTTATTGTTAGGAAAAACTCCAATGCAAAACAAGAAAAAATATAAACAGTAAATTGGTCTGTAACAGAAAACTACACATACTCAGATCCTTAAATACAGACACCTTGAAAGACAGTAGCCCCCTGACACGACCTCTACTGAGACTTTAGGGAAAACCAAGTCACTCATTAGCTAAGAGGATCATGCCACTGCTCTAACCTGTACTCCAAAGGCAAAATAGAGACAATCAGATAAAGAGAGCAACTCAAATCTAGAAGGACTTCTCCAACAGCTCTGCTGACCCACGTAAACAGACCTTCAGTCTATAGATCTGAAAACAGTATGGCATGCCAAGTCTTAAGGTCACGCTGCAGGACAAAGTGGAGGTAATGACACCAGTTAATCAAGGGAGAACAATGCCTCTCCTTTTGCCCTCCTCTTTCTCCCTGGCTTCTCATGTTCTGTACAGATTCTCACGCTGTTGCTCACCTCAATTATTCTGTTACACAGACTTCCATATGAAACCAAGACAGGGATGCCATTCATTAATTTCTTGCATTGTAAGTCCACTGTCCTTGGCAGCAGATATCACAAAACAATGAAAATATTGGCTTCATTTACCAACTATGAATTATCTCTCCAACTATCATGCCATAAAGACCATGAAGGCTTTGGTAGCCAAGTATCAGGTAGTAGGTAGTCTTGTTAGAATACAACAGATCCAAGTGGGTTTTGAGTAAGTGTAGCAGGCCTGGACCACAATGCACTTCAGCAATGTAATCTGGAAGAAATCAGGACATTCAAAAGCCCTTTGCACAGAGACTTTCTTCACGGGGTCGGTGACTGGCCAGCAGCTTTATTTTTTATTATCAGTATTATTTCTCATTTACAAGGGCTCTGGATGGGAAACTTTTGCATTGTTTTTGTAATTTTGACCTAAGGAAGAGTGATAAACATTGGGCTTCTAACAAACATACTCTTTATAGATATTTCATAGATACTGAGATAGAGATCTCAATGCCACTGTCACCTCATTTACTAAAGACGAGTGGTTCATACTGTCCAGGTATAATGCAAATTGTGTTCCAGACGTCCCAATATTTCCCTTTTATTTTATTAAATTCATGATCTTTTATCTAAGACATTGTACCTCCTGGTGTAGAAATGGTTTATATTCTTAAAGATCTGCTGTCATGAGGGGTAAAATGGTGCTTAACCAGTAACCATAGTAGTCAATTGTCAGTAATGTGATACTGTTAGTGCTCAAAGATATTAGTATTTCACATAAATTTCAGTACTGATGAACTACTGCACTTTAATAATGTGATCCCAAGACTTGGGCAAATGGTCTTCATGGGGGAGACTACTAACAGTCACAGAGTTGGGATAGAAGCCTGCAAGTGAAAACAGCCGCCATGATTTAGTAAGTAGCTATAAGTACAAAGCACTATATAAGGCATATCACCTACATCATGATTAACTCTCAGAACTAGCATGAAAGCAAGGTGCTATCATCTCCAAATAACAGATGGGACACATGGCTTGGGAAGCCAGAGTGACTTTATCAAGATCAGGTACTAGTTTAGTACACTGCTTCACACCCTGGAAGCTATCTAGTGCTCTGGCAGAATTAGACTCATCCATTTTAACACCAGGGTAGTGAGATGCTGGGCAACTCATTTCCTTTCCTGGTCCTCAGCTTCTTCACCTGCAGGGTGAGATGCACACTCTCTGCAGACAACACAGAATGTCCCATATTGACTGAGGAGAAGGTGACAACAACTACATTCCCATAGTTCCCCGGAAGCATTCACATCCTTAAAAATTCTCAGAGCTTTTAATTGGTCTGTATTTCTAACAGTCAGATATCCTTTTTCTTTTTAAAATATTCTTATTGAGTCTTTAAGAATTTCATACAATGTATTTTGATCATATTCAGAAGCCCTCCCCCATCTCCACCCTTACCTTCATGTCATCTATTGTTATTTTTCTTATTTTAAAGGCCTTATTGAATCTAATTTTGTTTCCTATCCCTTGGACTCTGGGCAACCCACCAGGTGTCACCACCTTAAAGTCTCTTTCAGGATACTATGTATCAAGGTGTTCAGAGGACTTTTGTGACAGGTGAGGGAGAGATGGGAGGGAAGTGAGAGGCTTGGACAAGCACTGCTATCTTCTAGTCATCAGTCTGCTCTGCCATCTCGTCCCTGGGCTCTTCTCAGTACTATTATACTCTACACTTATCTATTCTGTTCATAAACAGAGCCATCTGAACTATTTCTTCTCTGTGCTTAAAAAAAAAAAAAAAGATTTAAGTTCTACTTACTAGAAACTTCTAACTTCAAGTATAAAACAACAGAGACTTAAATGTCCTCACCATACCAGTCGTGAATAATGTAGAGCAAATGATTTACTACAGCATCAGCTTGATATCATGAACTATCACATTTATATTCTCTATCCATGAGCAAAGAATATATTACAGCCAACTTAAAATATGGCAAAAAGACTTTCCTCATAGAAGTAATGGCCTATTGTCCTTGGAATATTTTTCTTGAATAGTTATTCCCAGAAGCACTGATTCATTCAACATAGCACCTACTATGTGGCGAATATTGTTTTAGGCACTCAAGATATTAGGTAAGCAAAACTAGACCAAGTATGAGGGTGTGGTGGCGCACACCCCTAATCTGAGAGTTCAAGGCCAGGCTGATCTACACAGTGAGTTCCAGACCAGCTAGCACTACATAGTAAGACCCTATCTCCAAAAATAAAAGTGCAAATGTATACTTGCAGTGAAATGACAGTGTTGTAGTCTTCTAGATTGACACAGAAATGCACAAATAATAAAGAACTGCTACAGCTGTATGGCCAAAGAGGGGATTGGACTACACCCATGCTTGAATGGGTAGGCTTGGCCTAGAGCCTGAGGGGTTTCCCAGGAAAGCAATGCTTGAGCAGAGGTAAGACTGACAGTGACAGTCAGTGAAGAGAAGAGAGGCAAGAACATTCTAGACAAAGGGGAGAGGAGCCTCGCTATGTGCAGGAACTACAGCTAGAGAGGCAGGTGACACCAACCCTGTGGCCCACATTAAGGACCTCATTCCAGCTTTATCCTCAGAACAATAAGAGACTGAGGATAGCTACATGATACGGTGTGCATTTTTATTGCCATGAAGAGACTAGATCAGAGTCACAGTGGAAGGAGACGAACCAGTGAGAAGGCAGCTGTAGTGGCTCAGTCTGGTCCAGACTAACTGTGATGAAAATTAGTACACAGGAGGTTGAAGTTGATAGGACCAGGGGTCAGTGCTGTGCTGGGCACACACATGCATTAACTCCCATGTCTTATAACTAACCTATGAGACAGATATACAGAGAAGTAGGAGGAATTATGTACAATGTTGAGATGGTTAAAAAAAAAAAAAAAACACAACCAGAATCCAAACATCAAAGTCAACTACAAAACTATTGTGACAGTTTTTTGTTTGGGAAAAAATGGGGAGGGAAGGGTTCTACAGTGAAGTTTTGAAACTTAAAGGCTTCTAGATCTATTTGATCAAAGTACCAAGAGAAAAGTCCTGATGGAGAACACGGCCTTAGACTTCCACTTGGTAACTAGATGTTCTTTTGAAGTTTAACCTTCATAGAAGACATGGAAGGAGTCATACCTATTTCAACATATCGACTGGGCAAATCCCTCATGTCACTGGCGTGCCGTTCCTTCACTGAGCATATCTGCAAAGGAAATTCACAGGTCATTCTATTCATCTGATGGGAAATTATAACATCTTATTCAATGTGATGTTTTTGTTAGGTTAACCATGCAGTCCTAAAAATGGAGTGCGTATGATCTATCCTAAGATTAAAAAGACAGAAATTAATATAAATAGTATATAGTAATTATTACTTAGATTCTCCAACATTACTCTTCAATGAAGTCATACTCAAGGGCAAAGAAAGAAAGGAAATGGTAATATACATTGTGTTTCTAACAATCCATTCTCTGAAGTTCTACTCAAGAGCTGCAGATGGTGGAACATACACATTCTACTGGTCTATACAGAATACTAACACTCTGGTGTCCTGATGGAGCACACATTTTGGTGGTCTCCAAAGAATGCATACACTCTGGTGGTCCCAATGGAGCACACACACTCTACTGGTTCTAATGGAGCACACACACCCTGGTGGTCCTGATGTAACACACACTCTGGGGTCCCAATGGAGCATACACAGTCTGGAGGTCCTAATGGAGCACACACACTCTGGTATCCTGATGGGGCACACACATTCTGGGGTCCCGATGGGGCACATAAACTCTGGGGTCCTGATGGAGCATACACTTTCGGTGGTCCTGATGGAGCACATACACTTGGGTAACCTGATGGGGCACACACACTCTGATGCTCTGATGGGGCGCACACACTCTGATGCTCCAATGGGGTACACAGATTCTAGTGTTCTGATGAGGTGCACATGCTCTGGTGTCCTGATAGAACACATGTGTTCTGGTGTCCTGATGGAACACAGGTGCTCTGGTGTCCTAATGGAACACATATACGCTGGTGTCCTGATGGGATGTGAATACTATGGTCGTCCTACAGAGCCTACTGTCTAGTGATATGATAGCCATATGAATCCATGTAAGTATACTCTATTATACTCATACAATGCAGAAATCACCTATGGTGTAATTCTCAGAATATGTCCCTGTTGTTAAATGGCCCATGGCTAAAAATGGTAAATTTCACATTAGATCCATGCTTGTGATTTCACATTAGTAATTTATTTCACTGTTGTTAGTAACTAGCAAAGATGGTATATGTTCTTATCTCAAGTAAGTTAGGACCAATGCATTATATAATTTAAATCAGGGACTGGGAGCCACAGTCTAGTCCCTGGGCTGCTTATAGCCTGAAAGGTAAGAATATTCTCATATTGTTTAAAGGAAGAAAGAGAGAGAAAAGCAGTAGCCACAGCAACAGTATGTGTCCTGTAAAAGGTTATAGAACAAGTTTGCTTATCTTCATTTTAAATTATATATGTACAGTTGAAATAGAAATACATATTTATATTTTAATTTATAGCTAAATGTACATTATTCTTTAATCTCTCACTCCCCCACAAGCACCAGACAACTCACATGTGTGCTAAAAATGTGACTGTAGATTGGTAAGACAATAGATTTTTTTCCCTTACTTCCTTTGCTGTACTTCCAAAGTGAATATATTCAACTTTGTAATAAGAAACAAGAAGAACTTTTATAAGTTCAGTCATCTAGGTAATGTTGAACTTGAAGTCTGATACTGATTCTACATGACATTTGTCGGTCATCTGGGTTTTGTCATTACTTTTAGACAGCAATATTTTAAAGCTACTAGCCTAAGTATAACTTATAGAAAATTCTAAAGTAGACAAAAAACTCACAGGGGAAAACAACCATGGCCTCTTGTCCCAGCTCAAAGACAGCACCATTAATAGCTCCTCTTTAAAAGTATCTATTTTATTATTTTTAAATTTTATGTGTATGAGTGCATTGCCTGCATTGTGTAAGTGTACCTATGTTGTGCAATGCCTGTGGAGGTCGGAAGAGGGCACTGGATTCCCCTGGAATGGGAGTTATGGACAATTCTTAGCTACCATGTAAGTGCTGGAAATTGAACCCAGGTCCTCTGTAAGAACAGTCAGTGTTCTTCATTGCTGAGCCATCTCTCCATCCCCTCAATAATTCTTCTTTTGTGGAGCTACTTTCAATAATCTGATGACTTACTATAAATAAAGCTATTTATATATTCTTTTACCAAATAATTCTTTAGTGTCATTATGACATTTTATTATAGGAAGCTACAATAGCTTATTTGGTCAAATTTCTGACCATTAGTTTTTTTTTTGCTGTTGTTTTTTAATTTCTATCTAAGGTTGTTGTAAGCAATAGTATAGTCCATATACTTAACTATAAAACTTTTAGACCCTTTGTTTCCTTAGGATAAATTCCTAGACATAAAACTGACATATCAGGGGCTGCAGAGTTGGCTTGGTGGTTAAGAGCACTGGCTGCTTTTGCAGAGGACCTGGGTCCAAGTCCCAGCACACACATGGAGCTAAAAAACATCTGTAACTCCAGTTCCAGGGGATATGATGCCCTCTTCTGACCTCCATGGGCACTGCACAATACAAGTGCACTTATATACATGCAGGCACTACACTCATACACATTAAATAAATAAATAAATAAATAATAAATAAATAAATATTTTTAAAGACATGATAAATCAGTATGGGTGGAAACACTGCAGGTTTGCAGTTTGTTTGCTTCATTAACATACGTGGAAACTGCTCTCTAGCAGCACTGCAGCAACACAGCGAGAACCTAAGAGAGTGCACTGATATCTGACAAGCTCATGGCTGCAGAAGTGTGAGGCTCTACCAGAGATCAGCTGAATCTCCCTTGATTACTTCTTGACATTTGTCTACTGTCCATATCCTAAAATTTCCTCAATTTCCATCTACTTTTGATAGACTTCTGAGTTTACAAGATATCCACTCTTTTTGTAAAACTTAACTAGGGAAACTATTAAATCATCTAGTGGGAACATTCCACAATGTCAAATGGACAGTTGGTTTGACATGCTGATAAAAAGGGCCGAGAAGACGGTCTGGCATACAGAGCAAATATAATAGCAACATTAGGTAGCATGTTCTCAGCAATGACTGGGGCACCAGTGTAGATTCTTAGGGTTATTTATTAAAATGACAGTGTAATGGGAAGACATGTATTAAGGTGCTTTACCAAAGTGTGATGGGGAAGCCGAGGTGTGCACAGCAGGCAGGAAGGCTTTCTGGAAGAAGTGACATGTAAGTTGAAGCAGGAGAGGCAGGTCAGGTATGCGGGACAATGTGAAGGCCCCAGGCTCTCAACTGGAAGGTCAGCCAGATCTGAACATGGGACAAGCCAGGGCAGACGAGGCCAGAAAACAACATAGAGGTTGAGTCATTCACAGCCTCGGATGTCACGTTAAAGACCAGTTTCCATGTGGATAATGAGAATGTCTTAAATGTTCTACAGAGGAGACCAGCCTCTGACTTGCCTCTGGATAAATTATTCTAGCTGCACTGTATAAACTGAGGCAAAACCAGAGACCAGAGCATTTGACAGAAAGATGGAAACAAGTGGAGATACCTGAGGGGTGTTCTCAGAACTTGAGTCACCCACAGATACCCATGAAAAGCAATGTCACCATGCTTAATCTAAGATGAGAAAGCTGAGGCTTCAGAGTTACTCTGAACCACAAGGCTCTCCACACAGCAACCACAGTGATCCTTCTAAAATACAAGTTAGGTCATTAAACTAACTCTACTGCATCATCCTCTGCTGGCTTCCCACTTTGCTCAAATGAAAAGACAAGCAAAGGCCATGCCATGAGCCAGGACATGATCTTCCACCCATCTCCACTACCTCTCTCACGAGCTTCATCTTCTATCCTGTCTGCCATACCTGCTCCCCTCTGACAATAATGGCTTCCGTGTTGTTCCTCAAAAACACAGTTATCACACCTCTGCACCAACTTCCCCGCTTCCCAGTACCCTACCCCCATAGTTATACAGCTTCCTTCTTCCAGAGCTCTACCCTGATGACACGTTAGTTATTAGAGAGGCCCCCCTGGACTACCTATATTAAATAGCTATCTACCCAAATCCCAACCCTTTATCCTGTTTAAATGTTCTTGGTATTTACCATTATCAACATGGTATTTACTAGCTTGTTTGATTTTTGTCCATCTTCCTTCACCAGAACAGAATGCTCCCAAGGGAAAAGAATCCTTCTACCAACCCATTGGCATTTCTGCAGCACCAAAACAATGCCTAGAAGTGCTTGTTAAGCGCTTGGCAGCCATGCAAATGAATGAATTAGCAACTAGCTCTAACTATACTCTTTATCATGCTTTTTCTAGTTTCTCTCAAACAAGTTTGTGCATCAAGATTCTGAACTGAAAAATGCTCAAAACATAACTGGGCTTGAAGAAGGAATCCCCAATAAAATGACATATTTGACATAAATTTGTGGATCCCTATTTGGGCATAGAGAACATATATTCATTCCCTGTGATTGTTGTAATAGATTAGTACAGCAGAAATGTATTCTCTTACAGGTCTATAGCTGCAAGTTTCACTGAGCAACACACAGGGATGCACTCCTTCAGAAGCTCGTACCTGGTCACCTTGATTCACTTACTGTCACCCTGTAGCACCACTGGCCTTGGGTAACAGCCCCTTCCCTATCCATCCATCTTTCTCAGTAGGGCTTATGGACTCATTTAGAAACAGATGGACAACTCAGGACATTCTCTGCACCCTTAACTTAGCCACATATTTTGTCATATAAACAAACAGATACAGGTGCCAGGAATTAGGACCTGAAGATTTGGGGCCACTATTTAGCTTAATAATGAAATCATTTCTGATAACAATCTTTGAACTACTTACATGTCTATACAGGTCAATTTTCCTTGTCTTTTACTGTATAAAAGGAAAATCACTTTTAAAACAAAGAAAAACGCTACCTGATCTAGTTACAGAGTGATTAAAGTACCAAGACTATCAGTTTACTGACCCAGGAAGAACATACATGTGATAGGGCTGGAAGACTGCTGTTTTTATCCTACACTATTGGGCACTTCCCTTCCTATTACCCTAATAAGAATCATGTTGTATGGGGCTGGAGAGATGTCTCAGCAGTTATAAACACATACTGCTCTTCCAGAGGACCTAAGTTCTGATCCCAACTCTAGGGAATCTGGTACCTCTAACCTCCACAGGCACCTGCATGCATGTGAACATACCCCTTCAGACATACAGACAGACAGACAGACAGACAGACACACACACACACACACACACACACACAGACACGAATTGAAATCTTAAAAAAGAATCATGTGATCATATAACACATGAAATCAATCACTTTGGGTTCAATCTAAAGAAAAAGGAAAAAGAACATGATCACTGTGAGAATCAGGAAGATAGTGTCTCAAAGGTCAGAGTGCTGGTTTGGGTAATAACAGTCACCACAGCAGTCATCATCACTTTCCACAGCAGAGTAAATGCAATCATGTCCCTTTCATTTCTCATAGAACTGTATAGTTTAATGACAAGTTTAAGTTATTACAACATGCCAGATTTTGTACCCGCCCCCAAATCTATGAAGTAATGCGACAGGATGGAATTAAACCCAAGTCTGTCTGACCCTAAAGCCTAGTTCTTTTATTAAAGTTTCTCATACCATTTGTGCTTAAGCTAATTCTCGGGTTTTTTAGAGAAAATTAAATAATGTATTTTTAAAGGGAAGCAAATAACTTGAAATTCAAATCTCTACTGTAACAGAAGCACTGGTAGGAATGAAATAAAGGTGAATGAATTTGGGTTCCCTTTTTTAGAACAGCCAAACTTCATTTATCAAGGCATATAAGGGTCAGATAATTATATGCCAGAAAATACTCACAAATCTTATTACAGATAGTAAGTCTGGGCCCCTATGCCATTAAATTATGAAGTAAGCAAGACGACTTAGTTTTAGCCCTCTCTCACTACCATCAATAATGCAAATGAAAAATAAAAACAAATAAAGGAAAGGAGAAGGAAAACCTGACTAACAAAACCTAAAGCAGTCAAGGTATGGTAGCTGGGTTGTGGGAAACTAAAACTAAGATCAAAACACAGCACCATTCTCAAAACTGAAAAGGTCAACTGTTTTGCGATTTGGCATAGTAAAGAAAGAACATATCTTAAAATCTACACCTATGAAATGATTTGTGCATTAAATGGCTGTCATGTCACCATAATATTCAGACAAAAATACCTGCATTCCCAGAAGTCATTCATAAAATCATGTGCCTTTATATCACCCTCAATGAATCTATAATAAGTTGGTCTTAATACAAGGATAAGGAAAATCACCTTGATGGAAGTTCCCCAGCCAATAATGAGTGTCACACTGTCCTTCCAGCAGAGGCTGCAGGGATACATATCTGGACGAAGACTTATATCATCTCGGGGGACATTGGTGATTCTTTGCTTTGAGGTGATATCAAAAATCTTCACACCCTAGAAAACAAAACAGTGGTAAGCATCCTGTACTCTGGAGAAGGACAGTAAGGGTAAATAGGCCTGCCATATAGCACAGTTGGACAGCATGACAAAACAGTGAAGGTGTTCACTAGGTGGTCACGCTTGGAAGCCACACAAGATATGGTCTGGTTCTACACAAACCCAGGAGAACCCAAGCCACAGACAGCCTCCATGCTTCTCTCTGGACAAAGACATTGTATTAGTGGATGGCATAAGTGACTCAAATCTAACACAAATGTGAAATGCAGTTATCAACAAATACATTTCCAAATATACAGACAAAGGATGTTTCTAATTGTATTTTCTATACAGAAATGAGTTTTGTTTTTCAGAAAGGCTTTGATTCTGAAAAGTCACCTATACAAAGAAAACCACATCTGACATTTTAAAGTGCTCAAATGAAACCATCATGCACATAGCTAGCTGAAAATGAGCCATGAGACCACCAGTTTGTTTACTTTTCCTGTGATACAAGAGAAGTAAGAAAAACTTCTAAATAGTAAGGTTGATCCTGGGAAGACTTCTACCATTCCAAACATAATGGAACTGATTTGTTCAACCATACATGTTGAAATTTCAGAATATGACAGATAGGAAAAAGACTATTTTTTAAACTTTCAACAGGCCCCAATTTATATTGAATAAACTTTAAATAAGTATAGTACTGAAAATTATAATCCACTTTTTAAAATGCAGACCTATAATTCTGCCTATGATTATACTTGGAGTAAAAGAAAAATCAACAACATTCTACACTTGCTTCCTATCAACTGCCCTTGGTCAATAGGCAAATGGTATTTTCAGAAGCACGCTCCCAGTGCAGCCCTTCAATTATTAAGATGGCTTTCCATTTTCTTGGCTACTCTCTATGCCTCAGGTTTCTCACTCTAAAATAGTCTAGAATATGTTGGGAATTACTGTATTATGAAAGCCAAAAGTAATTTCTTTAACCTCCCAGTAGGGTATCAACTGTCATTTGTGTCTTTCAGAAACAATCAGCACACAAAGTGGCATCTTCTCCTTTCTCACAGACCTTTCAATCTGGCCAATCTTCTGCCACTGAGCAAGTGTTAGGAAAACAGAGATGTGCTTTTACCATATTGTTGGCCCAAGCAATCAGATGGCCTCTCCACTTCACACTCCGTATGTTCCCCTCCCCTTCATGTAGGACAGAAGACTTCCATCTGTTCATCCACGTCCGTTCAAACAGCAGCAACTGAGGACACAGCAGAATACAGGATTTCAGGAACTCAGAATCACATGGTAGATGCCTTTGTTACTATTTCTGTTAATCAAGGTTATCAAATAACAAAGAAGTCATTCTCAGTATTTTTATGTGTATTTTTAGTAGATAATGTGCATTTTGGAAAGAATTCCCTGCATTATCTTGAACTGCCCAGAGCCTGCCTGGTTTAGAACAGATTTTAGCATGGAAATTACTGCAAAGTCAAGCCACAAGATGGCACCAAAATACCGAGACTCAAGGCGAACAATGCAGGTTAATCAGAAGATGCCTGTCAAAAGCCTTTTGAATGATGCTAGCAACTAACTCATTCCCTAAATTGGGAAATCAAAACTTCTTAAGTTTCTTACTGAAAATAAGATATTCATTACAAATTAAACTACTTTAGTGTGAAACACTCTGATTTTCTTTCATTTAATTCAAGGCAAATAAGTTGATAGTATCTTCTGAACAGTAATTCAAATCACAAAGCAAAGGAAATTTGCTTTAGGATTTATCCTTTTTAAAAATTCCATAGTAGCTAGGTTCTTCATAAAAAGAAAAATCTATGAAATCCCACTTAAAAAATTTAATATAAAATATAATTGGCCAAAAATCTTTAATACAAAAGAAGATATAATTTTGGTAATTCATGTATCATTAAAAAATATTTTTCTTGATATATCACATTTACTTCTTTAATAAATGACATTTATGTACTGTATCACTTGAGGCATGTAACACAGAAATGTGTGTTTTACCCTCGAAAGTCAGAGCTGATAGAACTGGAGGTAGGGAGGAGACAAGTCCCACTAGCACTGGCTAGCCTCAAACTTCACCGTCTGCACCCCCACTCCCCAAATTATAGTACTTCAGGCAGATGCCACTATACCTCGAAAGATAATTTTAAAATTCCCATTTCAGGTCAGGTCACCTTAATATTTTTTGTATCCTCTCTCATTTCCAAGATAGTGGGGAGAAAACACAGTATATTAGGAATAAATTTGTATTTTACTTTTATTCCCTATATATCTTTCTCACTTTTTACATACCCATAGTCAGAATTGGCACACACACAAAAATTAAGTGTGCATCTTCACAAGTAAGCTGAGTATATTCACTTTAACATGCTATAATGTCTGAAGTTCTATTATCCATGGAGCAGTATGGTGGCCTTACAACCTGTGTTCTCATTAGAAATAGTCTGAGAACTCTCAATGACTTCTACCTCATTTCCAGAGTCAGGTGTCATCAAGAAACACCAAGACCCAGCTAGAGATGCATGGGGGTGTCATGGGGGCGTTCCTTTTCCTCCACTACCACACAGGAAAAGAAACCAGGAAGAACACTGGTCACCAAATGAGGGGAATGATGAATGTGTCACAAGAAGGTTTGAAACTGGGAAAAGAAGAGAAAGCCCAAGTGTGCGCTATGATAGAGAAAATCATAGGCCACTAAAAATAAGCAGCTAATAATGATTACTTTTTATTTTTTTATTATTTATTTATGGGTTTTTTTTTTTTTTTTGAGACAGAGCATAACTACACAGCCCAGGTTGACCTGGAGCACACTATGGAGACTAGGCTAGCTTCTAACTTAGACACCCATCTGCCTCTTTCTCTGGAGTACTATGATTAAATGCAAGATCTAAATTTTCTTATCACTATTTTTAGGTGACAGCAAAACTAAGAAATTAATAAAGGATTTTAAAAAAGATTAAAAACACGATCTTTGTTAAAGAGGAAAATATCCAGAGTACTGTACGACAGTAACCATACCACACGGCTAAGCTTTAGGGAAAAAATCAAAATTGGGAAAAGGGGGATGGGCATAGTCATGAAGGTTAATGATAAGCAAAACACAGGCGGCCCTACCAGCTATGTGGGACAAAACACAACTCCACTGAGGTTTGTAAGAGAATTCAGAAAGTACAAGGATACATTATATTCCCGGATATGAGACCCAAAACTCATGACGAACTTTAGTCTCATTAATTTAACCTGTAGATTCTGATGAAGGGTCAAAGAAAATCCCAAAGGAGTAATTCTAGATATTCCAAAAATACTAAAAATTCATTTGTAAAAAATGTAAGGACAGTATTTTTTTAAGTTAAGTAATAAGGTGAGAGAGGTAGATTTATCTGGTCCTAGAACTAACTACATCAAAGAAAAAGGGATGGAGAAACAGAAGACCAATATGAATCAAAATGATATCATTGGGCCTGGAGGTAGATGGAGGGTAGAGTGGAGATGGACATGGAGATGGAGGTGGGAGTGAGGGTGGAAATGGGGGTGGAAATTGCGATAGACATGGAGGTGGAGGTGGAGATGGAAGCAGAGATAAAGGTGGAGGTGGAGATAGTGGTGGAGGAAAAGAGAGAGGAGTGGAGGAGGAGGTAGAGAAGGAGGTAGAGATGGAGGTGGAGATGGAGGTGGGAGTGAGGGTGGAAATGGGGGTGGAAATTGCGAGAGAGGAGTGGAGGAGGAGGTAGAGAAGGAGGTAGAGAAGGAGGTAGAGATGGAGGTGGAGATGGAGGTGGAGATGGAGGTAGAGATGGAGGTAGAGATGGAGGTGGAGATGGGGGTAGAGATGGAGGTGGAGATGGAGGTAGAGATGGAGGTAGAGATGGAGGTGGAGATGGAGGTGGAGATGGAGGTGGATATGGAGGTGGAGATGGAGGTGGAGATGTAGGTGGAGATGGAGGTGGAGGAAAAGAGAGAGGAGTGGAGGAGGAGGTAGAGAAGGAGGTAGAGATGGAGGTGGAGATGGAGGTGGAGATGGAGGTGGATATGGAGGTGGAGATGGAGGTGGAGATGTAGGTGGAGATGGAGGTGGAGGAAAAGAGAGAGGAGTGGAGGAGGAGGTAGAGAAGGAGGTAGAGATGGAGGTGGAGATGGAGGTGGAGATGGAGGTGGATATGGAGGTGGAGATGGAGGTGGAGATGTAGGTGGAGATGGAGGTGGAGGAAAAGAGAGAGGAGTGGAGGAGGAGGTAGAGAAGGAGGTAGAGATGGAGGTGGAGATGGAGGTGGAGATGGAGGTGGATATGGAGGTGGAGATGGAGGTGGAGATGTAGGTGGAGATGGAGGTGGAGGAAAAGAGAGAGGAGTGGAGGAGGAGGTAGAGAAGGAGGTAGAGATGGAGGTGGAGATGGAGGTGGAGATGGAGGTGGATATGGAGGTGGAGATGGAGGTGGAGATGTAGGTGGAGATGGAGGTGGAGGAAAAGAGAGAGGAGTGGAGGAGGAGGTAGAGAAGGAGGTAGAGATGGAGGTGGAGATGGAGGTGGAGATGGAGGTGGATATGGAGGTGGAGATGGAGGTGGAGATGTAGGTGGAGATGGAGGTGGAGGAAAAGAGAGAGGAGTGGAGGAGGAGGTAGAGAAGGAGGTAGAGATGGAGGTGGAGATGGAGGTGGGGATGGAGGGAGAGATGGAGGTGGAGAGGGAGGTGGAGATGGGGGTAGAGATGGAGGTGGAGATGGAGGTAGAGATGGAGGTAGAGATGGAGGTGGAGATGGGGGTAGAGATGGAGGTGGATATGGAGGTAGAGATGGAGGTAGAGATGGAGGTGGATATGGAGGTGGATATGGAGGTGGATATGGAGGTGGAGATGGAGGTGGAGATGTAGGTGGAGATGGAGGTGGAGATGGGGGTAGAGATGGAGGTGGAGATGGGGGTAGAGATGGAGGTGGAGATGGAGGTGGATATGGAGGTGGAGATGGAGGTGGAGATGGACGTGGATATAGAGGTGGAGATGGGGGTAGAGATGGAGGTGGAGATGGAGGTGGATATGGAGGTGGAGATGGAGGTGGAGATGGACGTGGATATAGAGGTGGAGATGGGGGTAGAGATGGAGGTGGAGATGGAGGTGGATATGGAGGTGGAGATGGAGGTGGAGATGGACGTGGATATAGAGGTGGAGATGGGGGTAGAGATGGAGGTGGAGATGGAGGTGGATATGGAGGTGGAGATGGAGGTGGAGATGGACGTGGATATAGAGGTGGAGATGGGGGTAGAGATGGAGGTGGAGATGGAGGTGGATATGGAGGTGGAGATGGAGGTGGAGATGGACGTGGATATAGAGGTGGAGATGGGGGTAGAGATGGAGGTGGAGATGGAGGTGGATATGGAGGTGGAGATGGAGGTGGAGATGGACGTGGATATAGAGGTGGAGATGGGGGTAGAGATGGAGGTGGAGATGGAGGTGGATATGGAGGTGGAGATGGAGGTGGAGATGGACGTGGATATAGAGGTGGAGATGGGGGTAGAGATGGAGGTGGAGATGGAGGTGGATATGGAGGTGGAGATGGAGGTGGAGATGGACGTGGATATAGAGGTGGAGATGGGGGTAGAGATGGAGGTGGAGATGGAGGTGGATATGGAGGTGGAGATGGAGGTGGAGATGGACGTGGATATAGAGGTGGAGATGGGGGTAGAGATGGAGGTGGAGATGGAGGTGGATATGGAGGTGGAGATGGAGGTGGAGATGGACGTGGATATAGAGGTGGAGATGGGGGTAGAGATGGAGGTGGAGATGGAGGTGGATATGGAGGTGGAGATGGAGGTGGAGATGGACGTGGATATAGAGGTGGAGATGGGGGTAGAGATGGAGGTGGAGATGGAGGTGGATATGGAGGTGGAGATGGAGGTGGAGATGGACGTGGATATAGAGGTGGAGATGGGGGTAGAGATGGAGGTGGAGATGGAGGTGGATATGGAGGTGGAGATGGAGGTGGAGATGGACGTGGATATAGAGGTGGAGATGGGGGTAGAGATGGAGGTGGAGATGGAGGTGGATATGGAGGTGGAGATGGAGGTGGAGATGGACGTGGATATAGAGGTGGAGATGGGGGTAGAGATGGAGGTGGAGATGGAGGTGGATATGGAGGTGGAGATGGAGGTGGAGATGGACGTGGATATAGAGGTGGAGATGGGGGTAGAGATGGAGGTGGAGATGGAGGTGGATATGGAGGTGGAGATGGAGGTGGAGATGGA